CGGGGCTGGGACAGCCGGGGTCGGTGGGACGTGGCCGAGGGTGGAGGGGGGGGAAGACGGCGGCACGGGGGTGGAGTAACGGAGGACACCGAGAAGTGCGAAGTGTAATAAAGCGTGGCGGCAGGCGGTGTTCCGCCGGGGGAGAGAGGAAGTCTGAAGGAAATGAAATACAAGAGAGGGGAAGTGCTGACAAAAGGGCGTGATACACAGCGTGGTGGGGCACAGCTCTCCTGAAACTGCAAATCACAGAGTTTATTACTATTTTTAATTACAAGCAGAGCTAAAGAGGAGCATCGCAATTGCTTTCTTTTAAGGCAATTGTGAGATTTTTAAGATCACGGGAGAGAGGAAGTCTGAAGGAAATGAAATACAAGAGAGGGGAAGTGCTGACAAAAGGGCGTGATACACAGCGTGGTGGGGCACAGCTCTCCTGAAACTGCAAATCACAGAGTTTATTACTATTTTTAATTACAAGCAGAGCTAAAGAGGAGCATCGCAATTGCTTTCTTTTAAGGCAATTGTGAGATTTTTAAGATCACGGAGCACTGCCTGAATTTAAGGCAGTGGTCTGTGGCTCTGTGGATATTGTGAGCTTTAGGTAAAGGGCAGATCTTAGAAGCTGCTCTTGCTATTTGCTCTCCCTCCGCTGACCTCTGTTCACAGCCTAGCTGGTCAACTCCGTTTCAAACTCCAGCCAGGTCCTTTCCCAGAAATATAAGTAAATGAAGACAACAAGTGGCTTAGACGGCTTATATAGCTGGGTATATTTATGTACATGGAGGACTTAGATCCTTCGTGATCACCAATGGGGTTTAGTTGCAAAAGTCATGTTAAAGGACAAGTGCCAGGTAGAGAGAATACCTTGCTCAGGATCTTTTTAAGAGGGTAGCGGAGGCAGGAATCAAATACCAGTCACTGGGGCAGTCGTGGATCAGACCAGCCTCCCTAAGCAGATGACGCAGAGGCACCTCGAGGTGCCTGCTCAGCTGGACTTCTGCCTCCCCAAACAGAAGGTGAGTGGCATGGAAGCAGGCTGATTGTAACTTTACTATACTTTTAAAAAGCAAAAGAGAAAATGACAATAGAAATGTGCCATTAAAGCATTTCCATCTAGAGAAAGAGCGTGGTGCAAATAGAGAAGTTAAAGCAGCTGGCCATGGTCATCAGATCAAACAGGCCATGTTCAGGTCAGGGAGCAGAGCTGGAGCCTGACGTGGACTTTCACAGAGTGAATGACAGGGGCTGCTATCAGAGGTGACAAGGCCACAGATCTAGTCATTTATTAACCATTTATATCAGTAGGTTTATTCACCATTATGCAAGAAATTGCAAAATTCTAATATACATTGCGTGCTGCAGCTTATTTGTTCTCTTTTTCTAAACCAAGGAGTTTCTGCCTTGAGCTGCAGAATTTTGCCAAAAATACCAACTTGCACATATCGGTGTAGGAATTCATGGACTGGGTCAGACCCGAGGTCCATCTTGCCCAGTCCTCTGTCTCTGGCAGAAGCTGGTGGTGGACATGTAGGTAAAAAGTAAAAGCATCAATGGATCTTGTCTGGCCTTCCACCTACAGGTGTCTGTGACTGAGGGAAGTCTCATCTTTCTGTCTGAAGTAGTCCTCGACTGATTTTATACAACTTCAGGTTGCCTGAAAAAATGCTTATATCTAAAATATGAACATGAAAGCTGACATTTATGTTGTATGCTTCCTCCAGATAGGCCAAAGTGGCCAGCAGACCCTACAGCCCCAAGCAAAGTGTGTAAAGCATCCGCCAGAGGGACCAGCATTCTGTGCAAGCATGCAGCTGATGCTACAGCACAGCCTAGTAGCTCTGAATGAAGAATAACAAGGAGGAGATGGCCTGTCTCTCCTGTTATTCCTTGTAGTTTAGGTAAATATATTCTGGGATCAAAATACATTTTCTGAGAAACTATGATGACATCTTCACCAAAGGCACAACTGTATCTTTTTATTAGCCTTTTCACAGGCTTGATTTTTCCCTTGTCTAGCTAAGCAGTGTTACAAATTCCCAAGCAAAAGCCAAGTAGACACCTTCCAAGTTAGAGTTTCATTATTTTCTGAAAAATTAAACTCAGAGAATTTACATCTGGGAAATATTTATCAGATTGTCGCACACACTCCTCATACCTCTCCCACTCAACTCCCAGGTAGCAGCCAAAATACTGACTGTGTTACTTCTTCTGGTTCATTCTGAAAGATTTCATCTGAAACTAGTTTTTCCCCTTTCCCTCTGGAGGTTATTGTAGTGTCACTGAACTTTTTTCCATAAACTCAGGCCTTGGGAATGCTTAAATAGTTAGTCTGCATCCTCAGTGTTTATGACTGGAGAGTGTTTGCAAAACAATTGTCATGCCAGCCTCCCCCACAACCATTTAGACATAATCCATTCTTTATTTTTGCTGTCATAAATTGCTTCATCCAGACCTTTAAAAAAATAGTTTATTTTCCTCTCTGACTCTCTTGCTGATGTTTCAAAAGATTCCAGGTACACAGTTTGCTGTAGTGCTGTATGGGAATTTACCTTTAGAGACGTGAAGAGCAAGCCCACTCTATCCTCTGTTCAGTGCATAATTTGATTTCCGCACTGTTTTGTATCACCAGTTCTATCATCAGGAAGCCACAGGCAAAGACAAGCCGAAGGCGGGGTATTTTGGGTACTCCCTGAGGCACCAAAGTCCTTGAGTTGCATAGTTATTCTTTTTCTACAGGACTTAATTGTGCTAAAGGATGTTGGAAAATGTCTGGAGGTCAGTGCTTGCATGTGGAGAAGATACTCTGAATCAGACACCAATTGAATTATTATCTGTGATTTTGGGGACTGAACTGTCTCTCAAGCTATTTTCAAAATCCTTCTAGACACCTATCTGTGCCATTAGATATCTAAATAGTTTTGAAATAACATCCTCTAATTTCCAAGGGTCTTGGCAGAATTCAATGCAATGTCTTTCAGAGTGCTGGAAATTCTGAACATATCTGCTGAATAATGAGGTTTTGAGTGCCCAGTACCAGGTAGTTAAAAAAAAGCTCTTTGCAGAAGACAGATATTCAGATTTGGTCCGTAGAATCTGACGTATCTTCAGTCTTGAAACGTGAGGTACAGACCAAGGTTATCCAACCCTACCCACCCTCTGAACATGTGAACAGGGCATTCTTTGCACTGATGGAGAATAGGTTAAGGTCACACTTTAAAACACAGCTTCCTCTCCCCCTCCCTGCCCAGCTGGAATTGCCAAGCACTAATCTATCTTTCTGCATTCGTGAG